TTATGTAGAAATACTTTCAATTATTACTGTTCCTTTTTTTTCTGAAATTAATCGAACAAAAAAAAATTTTGTTTTTTTCAGAATAACAAAAAAAAAGAAAAGATAATTTTGTTTGTGTTATTATTTCTATTCTATTTCACTGTCAAAAACTTGTGCTTAGTTCAAACAACACGAATGATATCAGCCTGGATCACTGTCGATTATTTTCACTTTTTTTTTTCACCTTTTTTCACTACTAATTGGTTTTTGCGTTTTTTTAACATAAGAACGCCAAAAAACAGCTTAAAATAGACAACAGAAAAAATTGGTTTACAGAGATTTTTTTTCAACTTTCAGTGGTGATCGTTTTGTTTTTACCTGTTTTCCTTTTTTTTTTCTTTCTCCTTATTCTCCACTGTCTTCTCAGTGAATACTTTAAGCTATAGTATTTGATGACGATAAATATACTTCTTTTTTTTCTTTTACTTTTTTGTGTTTACTAACTTGATCATTTAGGCGAATATATTAGTAGTATGTAACAGTATATGTTTTTTTATTTACTTACTGTTTTTTTAAACATCTATTACTTTACAGTTCATTAGCAGCCTTTGACTCAACTTTTGACCAACATCACCAATATGCAGCTGTATACAAGCAGCATTGATTATCGTTCACGTGCAAAAGCCGAAGATGTTGATTTGGCGACAAAATGGTGGAACGACTATCCAAATACGTATGTTTAAATATTGCAATGCATAGGTTAATACTGAGAGAACTAACAGCAGATCAGCTGGAAACAGTTGAACAATGCTAAAATAATCTGGAAAAAAATTTTCTTTATTCTTATTAACTTAACAACAACATCTGACTAAACACTTACAGTTCACTGTTGTTGAACAGTACTCTGACAACTAAACCTGTTTTACTGTCAATTGAATGCCTTTTTTCTGTCCACTTTTTTCTTTCTACTCAATCTAAACTACGGTGTTTAGGGGTTAAAGTCAAGTGTAAAAAACCTGTATAAGCAGCCAGTTTGAAGATGATCTGAATTAGGCACTTGAAATACGGGTTTGGGTAGACGATTTTTTTGACCTGTAAAATGGTTTACCGACCACGAGTTAGTTTAAGTGCTTGTGATTAGTTGTCATTTGGTTTTGAAGCAAGCAATTCACACTTAGTGTCAAATTGCTACTTCTAGACTTTAGCTATACAATCTTTTCTGCTGTTGTTGTCAAGCTAGCGTTGTTGCTGTTGCCTCCTGTCAATAACTTTCTGTTCATCACTGCCAATAATCCTGAATTTTTCTTCACAAGATCTGCATATGCATAGATTTTGGACATGAGGTAATTATAAGTAAATTTTATAAAAGTTTATTTATTGAATTGTATATATTATCAGAAGCCAAAATAATTTGCTTGATAATCAACTAAGAAGCACTTATTTTAAAAACAATTTTTTTTTGTTTGTCACTTTTCTCTTCTGTGAGGCAATAGTTTTTACTAACAGTTTTATGTCTATTTTACGTTTCATGACTTTCTAATTTTAAGTTCAAAGCGTGTCTCGTTAAACATTTTAACTTCCTAACTGTTGGATTTGACAGTTAAGAAATTATTTTTTCACAAACAGATACCTCAAGTACTTGTTTATTTTGATTATCTTTTTGTCTGTATTTATGCGCTAAGAACTTTACCAACTAATATCTAACTAATTTTGTTTTTTATAGTGTTATTGCTGTTTTTCTCTATAAAAGAACCCTTTTTTTTAATTTATGGCTTTTTTTTGAAATATACAATTTATTGGTCAAAAGCAATCAGTTTCTTTGTTATAATGCTCGAATCAAAGTTTTTAGCTTTGCTGTAGGTGTTCTGTCTCATTTTTTTTCAATTTTTTTAAATGAAAATTGGTGATTACTAAGTAGCTAAGAAGGAATTCTTCTGATTTTTTAGCAGTAAAATTTTCGCTTCGTAACTGCAACGGCGAAATTTACAAGAGAACGATTGAAAATGCCTACTCTTGGCTTCAGACAGTGACATTACTTCTGCAAATCTTAACCTTTTAGCTATATAAAAGTCTCACTAACTAATCGTTCTCCCCAGCATTTCAAACAAGAAAAAAAAAGAAGTATAATAAATCAAATTTTTAAGCTTTTTCTAGTTGCAATTTTATTTAAAATTTGTTACTGATTTACATTTAACCAAACTTTTACTTTAGGAGATACACAAACTTAGCTCGTGCTCAAAATACTTTAGATGGTTATCTAAGAGATGTATGGAGTAAACCTAAACGACTAGCACGTTCGGCATCTTATACTAACCTTACATACGTTAAGGTAAAGTAGTGTTTTCTCAACGTAGTTTATCGCTTCTTGTCACTTTTTTGTGACGTTGTCCAACAGAAGTCAGAAATGCAAATTTTTTTTGTTTAAACGAATTGTCGTTCTGACGGTGACAAATTTGCTGTTTTCAGGAAGCAGTTCACGATTATCCGATCCGGCGTGCAGCTTCGGTATCGTCGTTGGCACCGTCGCTTGCATTACCACAATATTATCGTGAACCTGAAAGAATTGTGCATACTACGGTGGTTTATAAGCCGCGTATGTACGACTGGTACTCGAAGAGCTATAGTCACGCTAAATGGGCGGTCAGTGCATTTTATGATTATCTTGGGAAGATTATAGAAAAATGGTCATTTGGAAATGTTGGTTGTTAATTTGCAGTACTCAGTAACATTATAATTATATTAGACTTTGGAGTTTTACCTATCATAAGATAACTTAATCTTTTTTTCCTTATAGTGCTGTAATATTTTTGGAAATGTTAAATGAAGTTGATCTCATATTAAGCTACAAAGGGAATCAATATTACTGAGCAGATTTTTTATCGTTTCAGGATACATTTGAATCATTGAAAAAACCGTTGTACAAATCCTATGAGCCAATTAGATACAGCAGTTATGTCCCATATTATACCTTACAAACACAACGAACGTTTTTCAAACCGGTAAACTATTTTAAAAAAATTCTTTTTTATCAATTTTTTATCGTACCTTTTTTTAAATTTTACTTTTTCTTACAACAAATTTTCCATAAGATTGTTAATACCCTGAAGTTTTTGCTGCTTGAATTTATATGGTTAACAGGTAACATATGGTTAACAGGTAACAATTTATATGGTTAACAGTTAACAGGTAAGACTAGTTTTACCGTTTATTTTAGCGGTATCCTTCATCGTACATACAAGAATCACAGAAGTATCTCGACAAATATGTGTCTGCGCGTCTAAAGGCTGATGATTTTGCTCAACATTATGCTTATACAGCATACGATTGGCGACGTCCCCAGGTTTCCCGTTTTTTACACTTAGCCTTTTCACCATCGATAATATCTCTTCTGGGCAGGTAGTGATAAGTAACCTGATGCTACTATTGCGGCTATGGCTTTCGCTACAGCTACAGCTACTGCTACATTTAGTGGTTGCTTTTGCTTTTCAGGATCATGCTTTTAATCGACATTTTATGTATGGAGAAAAAGTGGCTGTGCCAATAGCGACTAGGATACCTTATTCATATACAGAAGCACAGGCTCTAAGACGAATCTATATGCTTACGGGACGATTTACATTTGCATGAAAGAAAAAAGTGAGAAAAAAAGGAGATTAAAGAAAAAATAAAATAATTTGCAATACTTTAAAGTCTTTTTGCTTTTCTATTTTATTCTTTCCTTCTATTACTTTTTTTCTCAACCTTTTTCGTTTTATTTTTCTTTTGGCTATATTTTTAATTGCTGTCTTATTTACTCGGAAG